GTGATGGTTAGGTAGGGAGAAGGGGTGTACCCCAGTAGACACCAGTGTTGGCTTTTGCTACAAATGAGTCAAGTTAAAAAAGACCAAGTAGGCAAATTTGGGATGGGACAAAAAATGAACTTGGGGGAGACTCAGAAGACATGTCAGTGCACATGTCGCTCACATTAAGAAATGTTTAGTTGCAGCTTTTGTGGATGGCGGGATTGATTTAGATACCCAAAGCTGACATGTAAGTTGGCAGGACGTGTCTCCTTAGTCAAGAGTTCCTCTTCCTTCGGTCACCACAGGGGGACCCACAGCTTAAGTGTCTACTGAAGCCTGCAGACTGAAATCTTGAGAAGCTGTCCTTGTGGCAGGCGACAGGAATAATTCCAGTTTCCAGTTTAGGCTAGGCAATGAAACTGGGGAATGTAAAGTGAAGTTTCCAAACTTCTCCAAGAGGCCGGGGTTGTAGCTCAGGGGTCACATGCTTGTCCAGTATGCGGAACAGGGTTCATGCTCCAGCCCTGACAGAAAAGAAAATCTTTCCTACCACCAATGTGCAAGTAAAGACTGTGGCTGGTGTATGTCAATGTCGGAAAAATAAATCGAACAGAAATAGCATAGCAAATGTCATTGGGAATGGAGGCATCACACCATAGCAAATGTAAACGCATTGATAAGTACCATGTAGTGTCAGGAGTTAGTTCATATCTATATGTAATTATACTTTCCCTGGCACGTTGACTCCTTCACATCTGAAACGCTACCACTGTTCTCGTGTTAAATTATATTTAGTTTTTACGTAGCAAGGATTATCAGAGAAGATTGAAATCAACTGGCTTTTCTGGAATGCATCTATCTGTGTTGCACATAGTCTGAATAAAATTAAGTAATACAAAGTATCTTCAGCGATATTTTCTCCTGTGGGTTTGCATAATTCTGGTCTTTACCTACAAGAATAAGAGAAAGCAAATATTGAATATATTACCACATAAAAAAATGAAATAGGACAAGGTGTTTGCTGTCTGTTCATTGATAAATCTACAGAGCATTTATTGAGCACTGTCTTAGATGCTCAGTATGTGGGAGTGAATGAGCGATCTCTGCCTATAGGAATATTCAGCCTGAGAGTTTATAGTAAAGCAAACTAAAATTTTATTGAACATTTGACCTGGGCCCTGGCATAGTGTAGTACACACTTGTAATCCCAGAGCTTGGCAAAGGGTGGCCGGAGGATCAGGAACTCAAGGTTATTCTTGACAACATGGAGTTCAGAGCCACCTGAGCTAAGAAAGGAAGGAGAGATGGGGCAGGGGAACAGGAAAGGAAAGGGGAACCAAGAAAGAAAAAGAAAAGGAACACTTGCTCCAAACTTCTGGACGTTTCATTTTGGGTAAATATGTTTGAGCATCTTAAAAGCAAACATGCTGAGCATTTCTCACAGAGACTGATGGTCCACTCTGCCTCACGGTCACCCCTGAGCAGTTTGTATCCTGATGAGTCTTCTGGTTGCTGCCCACCATCAGGTGCTTTGAGTTTTGTTTGCCCACTGTCTTTCAGCCTGCTCCTGGAGCTCTAATTAACTGAAGTTGAGGAGTTTGTGTTTGCTTTCTTGGCTCTTTTGTCAGAAGCCAGAAAGCAGTGGAAATCTAATATTCCTTCTTCCATTCTCTTGATGAAACGTCAAAGGTCCATTCCAGAGATGTGGCAGGGGATGCATGGTGGAGGTGTGTGCAGAATGACCCAGAGGCCAGAAGCCAGCCTCAGCCATGCGCCATGGTGGGTGTGCGGCTTGACTATGGCAGCAGAGCCAGTGGCAGACTGCCAATGCAGTCTTGAGTGGTACTTGGTATTGTTCCTCCTGTGCACATGACTGCATGCGATTGTTCACAATTGCGTGTCAGCAGTCAAGGTATAAAAAGTTGTCAGAAATACTTGAGTTTCCCTAACTCCCAATACATCCCTCCCAGTGTTGAGTTGTTGGTGTCTGAAGATTTGCAGTGGTCCCATCAGAGTACCACTGCCAACCCCTTCTCCCATCTGAACCTAAGTATTTTCTTCAGACAATGGAATATTTCAGTGTGTTCAGTTACACAGTCCATATGGAAAGCTGGTGACAGTGTTTGTTGCCACTTTACGAAACAATAACACACCAGAAGAGAGCAGTAACACACAAGAATGTCAACAGTGATGTCTAGGTGGGGTGGGGTGAGTGGATATACCATGTCAGCCAACCCAGCACTGTGTGACAGTGAGAGAGCATGTGATCTTTCCACAATAAGGAACAGTGTTTTGAATTAAATAAGTAATGTGACATAAGTGCTTCTGTGCATGGGGTTGTTGTTTGTTTAGTCTTTGGGGATCAGGACCTAAGTCATCTTTCCCATCATTTAGGTGATTCCAAGTTGAGGTAGAAATAAACACTTAGAGGGAAATAGTTTTTATTTATTAGTTCATCAGATAAACCAGGAGGACAGCAAGCATCATGGTGAGCTGTGCATGTTATGTTGGTAATTTGAGAAGACTTGACTAGACTCCATACCATTTGCAGTTTCCAACTGGTAGTAGGAGGTTTTATATTCTCAATAGACGAGGCACCTGGCTTCTGCACTGAAGAGCACACAGCACACGTACACAAAATGACGCAGGTTGGTGGGTACCATGCACTCAGCAAGAGCCGCTGATGCAGTATTCCTAGTGAAATATAAGTCTTAGTGTTATTAGTTAGTTGGTTCTAAGTTTCTCTGAATGTGTCTTTTGATAGAAATTGGTGTATACCAAGATGTTTATCCTAATAAATTTTATCTCTGACATTACTGATAAATATAAAAAATATAACAAAACTGAGTATCCAAATTACAGGAATGGTTAAAGTTAGATGCATAAGATCCCCATCAATAGCTGAAAGTTTGGAGACTAGTTGATAACATGAGGAAATTTTTATGATATGACATCAGGACTAGAGGGATAGCTCAGTGGTTAAGAGTACTTGACTGCTCTTGCAAAGGACCCAGTTTTACTTCCCAGCACCCACATGGCTCACAACCATCTGTAACTCCAATCCCAGGGGGTCTTGGCATCCTCTTCTGACCTCTGCAGGCACCAGACACCCACATAGTACACATATATACATGAAGATAAAGCATTCTTACACACAAAATAAAAACCTTAAATGTTTAAAAATTAAACATAAAAACATAAAGAGTATAATTCTCCATGCTTTAATTTTTCAGAAATTATGTATTTATGTCTACCTTAGGATATTTATTCTCAGTATTTATGTTTATTTATTTATACATTTATACACACGTGTATGTGTTCTGATAAAAAACTAGAGTACTTCAGTTAGCTTCTCATCACATAGCTAGAGAAAATAATTAGTGGGGTAGGAATTCTCCTGAAACCATTAAGAAAAACATTTTTCATAAATTGTGCCTTTGCTCTCAGAGTGTGTGAGGAGTCTGTGGTGGTGAAATAGTCTTTCAGTTCTAAGATTACCAGTGATTTGTACCTGCCCATGCACAGACCTGTAAGTGAACACCTTTGTTGCGTCCAGTGGAATTGAACCCTCTGTTCTTAGAGAATGCCCTCTGCCATCATCCTTATCCTCTAATTCATTTCCTGTCCTCCCAAGGTAGATGGTTCTGCTACCTTTACACATTACTGTTTCTAACAGTTCATCTTTCTTTTGGTTCCCATGTTTATTTCCTTTGTGAAAGCTAGAGCACCTCATTGGTATTTTCAAGTCACTAGATTTCCAGCAAAATAATTTTTTAAAACATAGGGGGACCTTATCGCCTTTGGGAGGTGTTGTTCTCTGCTGCATTCACGTTGAATCTCAGAGATTGAAAGGTTTGGAATGTGCTTGCTGTGGGTGGGTTACATTGTAAGGGAGGGGTCAGGAGCTCCAGTGGGCACCTGTGGTGTAAGGACATGGTCAAGGAAATAGATGAAAAGGCATCCCATTAGGGGGATAAAATACTAGCTGTGTACACGCACGCACTCATGTGTGTCTGTGTCTGTGTATCTGTGTATCACACTAAGCTCTGGAAGTTCAAACCAAGGAGAGGCAGCAGAGGAAGTTGCAGACTATTCCTTCCCTTTCTGAGAAGGGACTGTGCCAAGTACAAACCAGAACTCTAGGTGTTCATTTTACATTTCTGGTAGGTGGAATCTCAGGTTATTGAAATGACCGTAAAGATCATTTGTCTGAAGGATGGGTGGATAGAGAAGATGTTTGAGAATATGGCTTGTCACTGGAGCCCAGCGGACCCCCTCCCTGCTCACCACATGGCTCAGATCAAAGCATCCCCTGACTTGATCCCAGTGGCCGGATCATTACTTATCATCGATTGGAACCCCACTGGAGTGTTAACCCCTTGCTGCCCATGTTTACTCTCAAGCTTGCTGTCAGTAACTTGAGAAATACAAACTTACCACCACCACCACCACCAGTTAATTCTAAGCTGATTATCAGTGTGGGAGATTTTGCCCTGAAAACTTACCTTTTAGTGTTGCACATTATTTATTTATTGTATTTTTTGCTGGATAAAATTAATTTTTTTTTAAAAAAAAGAGAACACTTGAATTTTGTTGAAGCAGTTTTCATAGAGAGGAAGAGAGGAAGAAATATGAAATGTCCTGTGAGGAAAATACAAGGCCAGCAGATCCAGTACAGGTTTTCCAGTCATGTTGTGTACACTCAGGAACATGGCGCTTTTGTAGCGGCCTTTACTGTCTGGGTAGAGAGCTTTGCTTCAAACAAAATCCTGTCAAATACTCTTCACACATGGAGGTAGGTTCTTAACATCAGGCAATTATACCTAAATGTTTTTAGAACATAAGCTTCCAGTTCATAGTTTAACTCTTGCTTCAGAAAAAAAAAAAAAAAAAAAAAGCAGGAATAATTAGATTCCACGGGGAATGGCAATGTGAGACTCGTCACATGCTCCCTGGGCCACGTGGACTCTCCAGGCTGTGTTTTACTCACTCTCCCCCCCTTGTGTGTTTTCTTGCAGCTTGTCCCACGAGGAGCACCCCCACAGCCATCCTCTCTACGGACATGGCGTATGCAAGTGGCCAGGATGTGAAGCCGTTTGTGACGACTTCCCAGCCTTTCTAAAGTAAGGATCATCTGCCGTGTGTCTTCTCTGTTACAGTCTTTTCTGTCCCCCCTGCTGTCCCTACTGCTGTCCCTCGAGGGTCACACAGCCCTTCAGAGGGTGGCCTCTGAGTCACCATCATAGGAAGTTAGATCATCCCTGGATAGTTGTCCCCTAAAGGGAAGGAGACCCAAATGGAAGGCACCAACAGTAGTCAGTTTTCCAGACTAACCCTGAGGTAGAGAGAAAGCCAGTGTTCCCCTTCAGTTATTTCGGTGACTGGTCCTTTGTCGTTCAGTGGCTGGGCCCGTTCTTTGCCATGGGATCCTGAGACAGTGCCGCCATCTTGGTTTCTTACCTCTCTGTATTGGGTGGCTTCTGTTCAGATCATTCTCCTCACCAGGAGAAGTGGGTGAATGTATGATGTAAGCTCAGGCTGTCTGATCTTAAGCTGTGGTGCTGATAGTCTCTGCCAAAATGGGCTGCTCATCTTCTCCGTTTGAAGGAGATGTCTGTGCCTCTCATCTTAGAATTCCCTTCCCTCACCCCTCCTGTCCAGTAGTTAGAAATCTGACTTAGCTGCCCTGTGTTCTTGGCATCGATTCTGTATAATATGTTGAATCCTTGACCAGTGTACTGAATACAATTGTCTTAGTGTTCTATTGCTGTGAAGAGGCACCATGACCAAGGCAACTCTTAAAAGAAAGCATTTAATTGGGGGGCTTGCTTACAGTTTTAGAAGATTAGTCCATGATCGTAATGGCAAAAAACAGGCAGGCATGGTGCTGGAGCAGTAACTGAGACCTTTACATCCTGATCTGCAGGCAGCAGGCAGAGAGACATCAGGCCTCGTGCAAGCTTTTGAAACCCCAGAGCCTTACCCCCAGTGACACACCTCCTCCAACAAGGCCACATCTCCCAATATTTCTAAAGCAGTTCCACTAACTGGAGACCAAACACTCAAACACATGAGCCTATAGGGACCACAAGAGTATCACCATCTAGTTAATATGCATCGTGTGTAGCTTCTGTGTATCAGGGCACATGATGGTTTCTCTGGGGGGAGAGCATCCTTTATGGGCCAGGTACAAATGTTGTGATGCAGCCACCCCCTAAAGATACTTGTAGTATTACCTGAAGGTAGTTTTGTGTAAATATTTTACTATTATATCAATGCATAGAAGGCTTTGAACTTACTGTAGCTTCCCAGATTGGATCCTTCAAGAGTGTTCTGTGGTGAGTGTACATTTAAGCCATGTCCAAAGGAGCTAGTAAGTATCAACATGAAGAGCACAACGGTCGTCTCCGAGGACATTATTAGCATTTAGATAAGTGATGCTGGCTTTGTTCTCTGTGTAGCTCCTTCATGGAATCTGTTTTGTTACCACCCTATCGTTTGCCTAATCATATTTATCCAACGAGAGGAAAAAAGCTGGGCAGAACACACTTGGCAATTCCGATTTTCCCGTCGGCACCAATGCTAAGTAAATGCGTTGCTGATCTCACTCTTCTAAGGATGGCTGACAAGCATCAGTCAACATGATTTATGGTTATAAAATCTTGAACTATAAAATTGTTGTTATCAGTTGTGTGACATGTAGCAACTCTAGGGACAGAAAATGCATCGCCAGTTCCCCACTTTGACCCATGTAAAAAAAAAAATCATTAACAGTCAAAGTATTTCTAGCCTAATAATCTTCAAGTCATAGGTTCATGTGTTATGAGCTGGCAGTTAAGATATGGCTAGGCCTCAGGATCTAGAAGAGTGAATAATTCAAACCACTTCTAAAGAAAAAAAGAAAAAAAAAAAAGCTAAGATCATTTGAATTGAGGCCTAGATTTACCTCCTACAAACAAGCCGCCTGTTCACTTCTCAGGATGTGAGGAGCCTGACTGGGAGTTGGAAACCGTCTCCCCAGCCTTTGTTGTGGTTTTGCACATGGCATGACATGCTCCTGGTTCCTGTTTGCTCAGCGGAACTGGAGTGCCTGCTATCAACTTGCAGTATTGCTTGCTTATTCTCTACCGTTTGCTTATGTGCTAGTGTTTTTCAGCAGACTTTGTTTGCAGGTTGTACAAACCTGACTTGAGTTGATAGAGGAAAAAAAATGAAGGCAGGGGTGAAAATGAGCCAGTGGAGACCGGAACTCCTGCCGCATTGCTAGCACCAGGCATGTCGGGATCCAAGTGGCTGACTAGGGCTCCTAGGGCTGTGGGGGTGCTGCTTTTGGGGTTCCCATCAGCTCTGTATTTCCCTGTTGCCTTCATCCTTTGAACTTTTCTAATGGGAACTGGAGAACACAGGTTTGTATGTCATGGGATTATCAGTCCCATGGTGTAAGTTTTTTCCTCCATTCTTCTGAGAAGGGCCTTGTGCAGACTGCCATTGGTTTAGATTAAGCCCTGTGTTCTAAGTTTGAGCCAAACTCCATTACATTCCCACCTCCAGAGCAAAGGAACTCATACACATGACCCATCTGGGAATAGGGCTGAGAGACGTGGTTCCAGGAAACAAAAGTGAGTCTTCTCATGGACGAAGCCCCTGTGAACACAACTCCCGTGAGTTCCCAACTCAGGACCTCAGTTTTCCTTCCTTTACAGCAAGATTTAATACTTAGAGATTCAGGCTTATCTTTGGGGTCAGGGTCTGCCCTAATGAAGTGGAACACAAGTTAGTCATCTTGGGGACTCTTGAGTAGCATGTCTGTGCTCAGCCCCAAAGAGAAATCCACTGGCTCTAGGAAACTCTTCTTGCAGTTCCAATGAAAGCCACATGGTTCCCTTGAACTCTGACACTGTTATCAGAATTCTCTTAGTTCCAGCATTTCTCTTCAAGTTGCTGGGTTGGAGGGTTCTGGAAGAATCTCCCTGGCTCTACTTGTCCAACAGTCCCCCCTCCATTTTCACAAGTTATTTTTTATGGTGGAAGCAAATTGACACTGGTCACTTTGTAAGAATGTATAATTCAACAACTTTAAATATTCAACAGGCATGGTTTAAGGTATGTAATAATACATATTAGTACATATTAATTCATTTAATCGTCACAGCTACCTGGGAAAATGTCACAGTAGCATTTTGAACACACAGTTAAGGCGACAAAGGAGCAGAACGTTTGAGTGACTTACCTAAGGCCACCCGGTTACTGTGAGCTCTGGTTTCAGAGTCTTGTTCACCATTGTCGCACTGTGCTTGCTACCTGGGAAAAACTACCCTTTTTTGAATTAATAAGTTGCTTTCTACTTAAGGCAGTGGATGTGAAGAAAGTTCTAAAGGCAGATCAGGAATGGTGCTACTTTCTTTTAAGAGTAGCCATTTGTGTAGATAAGTTACATCTCAGCCCCTTTTAGCATGTGGACTTCAGTGTATTAATAATGATCTCTTAGAAGTTACACTCCAAAGGCATAGCATGGGGAGTGCCTAGCTCTTCCTAAGCTCTCTATAAACACTGGCACGTCTCATCTACTTAGGTATATTTTAGTACAGTATTGCTGAGGGTGGTGTGGCATGATGGAGTGTCAATACTCTGATGGTTTTGTGGGCCATCAGAGTCCTGTCCCCATGTCACTCTAAAGTAGGCAGAGAGCCCTAGTGAAGAGGAAGCATGCCTGTGCCCCTCATACCAGCTGCATGTGGCCTCTGACCTTGGGTCACAGTTTTGACGCCACCCCGTATTTCCAGCTGAACAGTGCTCTGTGCCTCCTGGATTCTGTCAGCTGGGTAGCTGGGGGAATGCGTGTGGGAGGGTCTGTAATTTCCCTCAACACCCACGCTTTAAGCTCCTGGCTCTGGGGTTCTCGAGCCTAGCTTTTCAGGTTGGGTGTCTGAAAGGAACATGATGCCTAGTTCCTGTTTTCCAGCCGTGTGTGACTCCAGGTAGTAGGTGTAATTGTCACAGCGGTCAGAAGTGCTTCAGGATGCAACTCCAGTTAGACAATGAAGTGTCACTGTTGGTGGCAGAGGAGACTCGCAGGCAAAGGCAGAGGTGTGTTTTTCTCCTCTTGAAGAAGTGTTAAGAGTTGATGGAAAATGGAAACCAGAGACTTAACATGACACCTTAGCCACAGGGTTTTTGTTCCTAAGGTGAAGGCAACCACGAGTCTTGTCTGTTCCTGCCACCAACAGAGACCCTACCTATGCCCTGTCTCTTCCCAAAACAATTTGAAGTTTTAGTACTGGGCTCTGTCTTCTCTCTTTATTAAATCTCCCCGTCCGGAGCTGTCACGTGACTGGTACTGTTGGGGTTGCCTGATGGCAGCCAGTGCTCACACTTGCCGTAATGTCGTGCCAGCGGGCATTGCTCTGATTCCTACAACATCGGGGAATGAAAACAAGCCCGTGGCCTTCCAAGAGGGGAAGCCGTCAGACTTCCCCATCTTTCCATTCCACTTAGTCTCTCTTTGCAGATCAGTCAGTGTTAGTCTTCACCAGAGGGACTTGGAGTAATGATTCTTCCCCATAAAGACGAAAACAAAAACAAGCGTCTCCCATGATGCTTTGGAGTGGTACACAGCAGCCAGGAAGGTTCTCAGTCATGACCACACTCCTCATTTTCCAGTGTTCACTCAGACCAGGCTGCAGTTTCAGAAATGTCAGAAATGCTTGGAGGGAAGTATCTCTTTTTCCCTTAAGCCCTCAGCCCCACCCACCCCGTGCCTTGCTTTGGAGATAGAACCCAGGGCCTGGGCCAGCACCCTGCTAGACCCTGAGTGACACCTCCCAAATCCCAACTTAGTTTTCCATATGATTTCATCACTTTGTGTACTTGCATCGTATTCCATTTGGAAAGATTTTTTTCCCCCCTTTTGGTTATTTTTCATATAGAAAAGCTCCATTCAGACAGAGGCAAAGCAAACAAAATTGCCTTTAACAAGTCAGTCAAATGTATGTAATTTATGAAAGCCAAAAAAGTTTTCTGTGGGTTTCTAATGTAAGACATGAGAACAACATTGAAGAGAATGTCCAGAAGGTTGAGGGCTGCAGGCAGAACAAGATGGTTCTTTGGTAAATTGCTTAAAGAA